ACAGGAGTTGTTAAAAAATGTTTCCCAGTTTGGTTTTAACTATTGATTTATTACGAGTAGTTTATATTTTACGCTGTCCTCAACGAAAATGGGATACTGCAAAGGTATTTTTTAACGGACTTTTAAGACTACTGGATTCAAGCTTCTCTAATTTATCAGTACAGTCGGACAGTTAATAGTATTATATTTAATTAAACCCATTTGTTCGGAAATAAGCTACTTTTTTCGCTTAATCAAACGATCAATAGTTTAATATGTGATATAAAAACGGTTATCTTTTAATTCAGTGTTGATTCTATTCAATTATAGCGAAATATAGGTTTTAAAACGTTAATTAATATGAGAAAGAAACAGGAAATCGACAGTAAAATTCATGATCAAATAAAATAATTGACTTGCCTCAAGCATCCGCCCTGACATTTCCTTCATATATAGTTCCTCCTTCCTATTCTTTAATTACTTTCTTTCAGTTCATTTCCGTGTACTACAATTAAAAGTGTCTCATTTATACGATGGGAAAACTGACGCATATTAAGTTAGAAAAATAATGTTTAGAAGGAAAGTAGAATGGTGACATTCATCATTTTTAGAAAATATTCTAGGATAGGGGGCTTTGTAGTATAGATGTCAAAACTATCCAACACGAGAAAATGAAGCAAAGAATATGTTATATAACATCTACAAAAAAGTTTTTATATTAATTGCCTTATAAGTTTGGAAATGATCATAATTGACATCTATATTAAAAATTTAATCGTTTAGCTTTTAGCCTTCAGGTTAAATGGAAATTTTAATAACTTTATCGAGAAAAATAATAATACTTGGTATAAATAGCTGAATAAAAGCATTTTCTCCAATAATGACATTTTACTTGCTTCATAGAATAGTTTTTTCTTTCCTAATTGGTGCACTTTTTTGTAATCCTTAGGAAATTTTTCTTCACCACCAATAAGAAATTCAATTATTCTAATTTGCAATACTAGATTTCCTTAAATTCAGTTTCAGACATTAAGTTAATAACTTTTAATGATTATGAGTTAAGCGGTTCACTTAATTTTTATTTATAGTTTTAGGGAAAATTTAGATCTATAAGTTATTTAGATGAGAAATCTTCTGGAATAATATGAATATGTACAATACCAATCTTTATTTATAAACTAAATTAAGAAGATGTTTAATTCAACTTAGAAAAAAAAAGCAACCTGCAATTGACAACAGCAGGTTCTTTATAATCAAATATGATGGAAATTATAGCAAAATGCACTATAATTTTTATATGAAGCTTTGGAAAAAAGTTATTAATAGATTCTAATTTCAATATATCTATATATCCATTTTCAATTGTATACAGTATTAAAATATCTATATATTACTGATCTTTCAATATCTCTCCCTCCCCCCGTCATTCCCCATTTTCAGCAATATCATCTGACAGTTTTATGTTCAGCTATATGCCTGTTTTAAGAGAAAATTATATTATTTTAATAGAAATAGAAGACTTAAAAATGAAGCTGATTCCTTTCCAAGTGCCAGGAAATCTTACCCGGGTATATGAAGTATTTTATTATATGATCAAGCTTAAATATTTATCATGATTCATCAGATTTTCCAGCGACTCAAAATTTAAGGAAGAGTAAATATATACCATTGACTGATTAGGCAACTCTGAAAAGCATTAGAAAAGCCATTACACACATATAAATTTATATGTATATATATAAATAAATACACATATATATATATATATAAATATCGTGTATATTCTTCATATTGGTTTATAAACTACCCCTGAAGACCGACAAATAAAATATATTAATATTTTAGATATTTTTTAACTTATTCTCATGTGACATTCACCATATCAAAGATAACAAAGAAGTTAATCTGTTAAAAAAAAGGACTACATCAAAGATGACAGCCTCTACTTAATTGAAAGAGAAGATTAGCATTGAAAGTAAGATATCTGGAAAAATGGAAAACCTCTGCCAATATCAAATTGCTTTTGGATTTAAATTTAAAAAAGAGCAAAGAAAAGAAATCTACTTCACCGTATCCCAAATAAAATAAGTATTAATTTATTAATGTAATAATAATTTATAAATATTATAATTGTTAGAATAGATTAAATTAAACCTTATATCTCATTAGAAGATACGCCAGCGGAATAGTTAATTGACAGATATAGTCTGATTTATTGGTAAAAATCAAAAAAAACTCTCCACAAATAAGCATTATGTTTTATCAAGCTTTTCTCATAAAAATTTCTTCAAAAGAGGATAAATAGAATTGATAAGGTACTCTTCTAACACTGTATATAGCGAGTAAATCATACACACAACTATAAGTATGTATATAGCACATATGTCAAATACTCTCATCGCTCCAATAAGATTTGATTGTTGTCAGGTTCATCTAGTGAAGAGCGAGTAACAACACGATGATGATTTTTATTTGAAACTATTAGGAGAGATAGATAGAATGAATATATGTTGTAAAATATTGATTTTGCATTTGGGTATTATGTTAACCTAGATATTTGTATGTTTTCCTTATATACAATATCAGTATTGAAATGACAAAATTTAAACTATACAAAAAGAGGAAATTCTAATTGAAAGTGGCAGAAATTTCTGGTACTTTTCCGGCCTTAATTCGTCTATTCTAGCGTGTGTAGAAAGATTCTTTTTTTTGCCTTTGTCGATTCACAATACGTTCTTCGAAGTTATATCGATTTATTTGGGTGCTCTTAGGCAAAACCTCAATCATTTCTTTGTATTTTTTTTACTTGTAAATGGCTACTTTATGGGTACTTACGCTTAAAGGCCATCGATTCCTTTTTTGTTATTTCCACCCAAATTTTCTCTTTTTATCATCAAATAGAGCTTTAGTTTTGAATTCAACATGGATAAATCAACAGCTGTTATTTTTATAGCCTTTTAAGTTGTTTCTTCAACCATTTAATTATCAATTCTATTAAAAAAGCACATTAGATATTTAAATATCTTAAGATCAAAAGATTTTTAGAATAAATAAAGTAAAATAACGTAAAAGTCATACAAAAATAACTTATTCCTTACTCTATGGATAATCTAGAAGGTCGACTCTTACGGCTGGTGAATTCCCAAATTACTCCTATGAATAACCCTACTATTAACAGTGACTTGATTTTCTTTTTACTACAAAATAAATTATACGTAAGTTTTTTTAATCATTAAAATCGGTTAAGTAAAGAGAAAATTTTAAAAATTAACCTATACAAAGGTTAAAGGTTATAGGACTTTCCTGTCTTATCGAGCGAAAGTATTTTCGCTCTAATATTATTTCTTCTTCTTCCTTACATTGACAAAAATATTTAAAATTAAGTCTATCTTACACGTAGCTAAATATTTAACAAAATTAGACATGTAAGTATAAGGATATCATTAAAAAAAGAAGACTAAAGAATACATTATACAGTATACTCAGTCGGTCTACCCTTTATCTTCCGGGTAAGATGAATTTAAAAAATTTTTAACCCTAACAATTCTGTGAAGGAATAATTGTAAAGAATTTTTTCTATCTATCTATTTATGTTCAACTATCAATTTACATGTTCTTAAAATGCCTAACAAACCCCAATTCGATTCTCAAAGACTTTAAATTGAAAAATTTACACCAGCACGTATATGATGAGAGTACAGATAGGCTGCATCTTTCTAAAATAATATTTATTAAGTTATAGATTACTAGTATTCTCTTCTCCATCAATTTGGCATTTTATATATTCCAAATTTTAGCTTTCACATGACAAGACACTAGAGAATTTTCAGCCTATTATATAAATACTACTAGCCTTTTCTATTAATGTTTCAAGGAAAAAGTGATGTAAAATATATAGAGCTATTTCTACCTTGACATCAAATGCAAGGAAACTCGGTTTTGCATGGTGAAAGATATCAGATAGATTAATTTTTTATTCTTTACTGTCATATGGACCACTAATCAATGCATCTCTCTTATTAATCTGGTCTACAAAGGGAGGAAAGGAAGTTATTATGAATATTTTTGGATTTTAGACGACTAAATCATAAAGAAAACGTTCATCAGAAGAACATGCTTTACTATTAAAAGAACTATGTACGGATTGACCAGCATAAAGGAAATTTCTGCATGAAAATACAAAGATCCTATACTATTTATATAAATATCATCTGCATTGCAGTCAGTATATTTTCTTTGTATTTAGTAAACTTTTAAGTTAGGTAATTAGTTAAATGTGTAGTTTATGCTTATACAGTATTAATATACAGTATATACGTCATCAGCCATTATTTTTTATTCAGCTGCTTTTACGACAGAGTCAATGTGATTTCTGTTAAAGGTTTAGTTTAGTCTTTAGTCTTTTGAGTAAATTTAACAAAAACTACGTACATCTATGTCTGTATTGAAAAGTCCATATAAAAGTATGTGATATTTCGCAAAGAATACAATTGTACAGAGACGTATATCAACCAAAACATGCTCTAGTAAATTGTACAGTAAAGGTTAAAAGTAAAACGATTTTCCGTTTATGGAAAATTGGTCGGCTCTCTCTTAAAGTTCAGTCTATTATTCAAAACATTTATTCTTGCTTTGATAGAGTGGAAACCGATTTTCCTTGGTGATATTAAAATAATTACATATACAATAAATATATTTTGCTTTTGTTTGCAATGTATAGTTTCGATTTTTTCCTATTTCTTCACTTTATAAAATCTATTAATTAAATAAGATCAATGCAACAATTACAGTTTTATATTGAATTAGCTTATGAAAATTAATAGATATATCGTTCTAGATTATTTTCTTCCTGCTTTATAAAAGAGGAGTTTAAGTTTGGAAAGGCCCTTTGAGTTAAATCACTTTGTCGTGACCACTTTTGGCCTATGCATATATATATATACTATTATATCCATACTTTTATAGTTGGCCGAATCTTATTTCGTATGCAGTCTTATCGCTTGTACTCTTTTTATATGTATTATGGATTGGAATAGCATAGATATACCTTGGAGCGGTGAAACTCGTAAACTGTGCCAATTACTTGAAACTAAAGAGCCACCTTTTATTGCTCGCGTTGCTCTAAGTAATATAGGATCGTTTAATGCCGGCTATGGACCAAATACTCAACTTCCAATAGTCTTCTATAAATCAAGAAAAAGAACACATTTTATAGGTAAAAGTGAATATTATCTAAAGAAATATAACAAAGCGTATTTTCATAAGGAATGTTAAACTTTGAAAAGAATGATTACTATAGTATTGTTTGTGCTGCTTTAAGCTTTGTATCTATTTGTTCTTATGTAGGTTACGAAGGCTTAATAGGCCTAATACTTAAGTAAAGACTAATTTTGACATCCTTTTATAAAAAATACTTAAAAATATACGTACAGTATATCTTTCTAAACTCTAGCCTTCAATTAGAATATTTAGTGTTTTTGTATAATTGCCCAACGTAAATGGAAGACTTAAATTAATAAAATTTATTATTCTATTTAATAAGATTTATAGATTATATTTAGTACAAAAAATATAGTAACCGGAGGAGAATTAAGAATTTCAATATTCTATATAAAATTCTTTAAAAATAAAGGTAAACCTTTAAAATGCCGTGGCAGAAAAAAAGAGTATTATGAATTTTCACTTGATTGCTCTGGTTAGTTATTTTTGTTTTAAATAACTGCGGCAAATAATTTCAAATTATTTAAACATCTCAGATTGGTACAAAATTATGCATACGTCAATGGATATGACACCTTCATACTCATCTTGCTATGATGTGCATCAAGACAAAAAAAATTCACTATTTCTTCTTCGTAGTTCTTGTTGCGGTTATAAACAATCTGGAAATCAGTTAGAAGAGCTAACGCTACCAGCTGGAATTTTGTTAAAAAAGTCTAATGTAACAACCTTACAACTATTGAATTGCGTAATTCGCAGGAGAGATTCTCAAAGCAATTCAATGGACAACATGCAAGTAAATTCAGTTAATATTATTTGTTTTCCTCATTTAAATATTTATCCCTTTCTGTAGTTTTTAACTTTTACGCACTCTTCTGGGAATGACATATATACGGTCTATATTAGTTTTGATGATCCTTGTAAGATGACCCCTGCCCCAGGAAAAACTAATCATCCATCTGTTGGGGCTGCCTATCGGCTATTACAGATTAGGGATGCTAACTTGCCCCTTAATATTCGATGCGTATACGGCAGAGCCCCTGTGAATAAGCATCTGAGTGAAACCACACGTGTCTATGAACTAACGAAAAAAAAAAAAACGTATAATATTACATCTTTCCTATTTTCTGAACAAGGAATATATATTATGGACATTCCAGTAGACATTAACATTCTATTTGAAATACCGGAAAATGACGATTATAAAAGATCTTCACAATTTTTAGCTTTTATTAAATTTATTCCGGGATTATCTTCGAATTATAAAAAAAAGGTAAAGCCGATCGAAATCCCCTATAAAAGGAATAGCAGCTTTCCATTTTCAAAACGAGGACTTCTTTGTGCAGCTACTCATATTGCTGAGGTAGGAATACATCGTTCACTCTTATAATCAATGCTTCAATAGTTTGTCTAATATGCACAGATAACTACCCCCATTTGTAGACCAGAATGCGATATTGCGGAAGACATCAATGAAAAAGAACAGATAAGGCAAAACAGATACCGAGCATCTGTAGTGGTCAAGAATACAATTTCAACCGGTAGTCACAATTCAGCCACAGGCCATGTAAATCATTTACTCGAATGGCTTGAAAGATACGAGAATGATCATTATGACTCCAATGAAAATATTTACACTGCCCTGGAAAAAAGTAGTATAGATAAAGACTATTACAATAGCCAAGCAATAAACAAGCAAAACGCTCTATATTCAAAACGTCAATTGCAAAATGAAACATTTCGGGACCTATCACATCAGGGTATTGAAAATACTACGTCTTCAATAGAAGATATTTTATATAACGATTCAATATATGATAATAATAGTAGTCTAGCCTCATCTTATATATCAGATCTTGATAAAGACGTTTATAATTAATGAATTAAAAAACTCTTAATTGTGTCTGCTAGCATAGATTACCGTACAGTTGTGATAAATCAACATAAACTGTAATGACTATTATATTATAAAAAATATTAATATATCAATGTATACACATACTATATTTATAGATGTGCTATTACGACAATAAAACAATTAAAAACCAAACTACGTAATTCTCTTACACAATAATTTTTATATTTAGAAAAGTTGAAAACAAATGTTTTCAAATCCTTTGTTTATCTAATAGAAAACATTTAAGAATAAAGAAGGAAATCTTATCTGATTGTTATTACAAACTTGTCCCAAGTTTATTATTTAACTGAAAATGCGTAATTTAATAAATAACCCAGGATTAATTGATTATTCACAATCATTTTCCAAAAAACATAGTCTATTTTTAACCTAAAGCATTGTTACTAAATAATTATATTTAGCTACAATCTAAAAATAGAATTTATTAATATTCATATATTCCTAAAAATTTAGATATGTTTATGAATATTTAAATTTTTTGAATAGAAGATAAAAACAAGAGAACTTATTGCTGATTGTAATATCTATATGAGCAAGAGTCAATAAAAGATTTTTGCGAAAAAAGGAAAGAATGTATGAATGATATTTCAGATATGAAGGAAAAAATTAAATAAAAACAGATAATGCTATGAAAAATAAATAAAAAGGAAAAAAGTCTGTAATATAATAGTTCATAAGTAATTAAAATATATTGTAAATTTCCATTGGCCTGTTATTTCCTATAAAAGAAGTAAAATATTAATAGTAGAACATCTTTCAACTTTAAAATAAAACTTTATACGTAAAAAGTCTATATAATTAAACTTTTTCTTTCTACGATATAACATTTTGCAGTTGAGAGAAGGAGAATGATTCTAATTTACTCTTTCATAATCGTTCTTCTTATAAATCCAATGAAGAGCTTTCTACTTGATGTTGAAGATTGTAAGAATAAATATTATTATTTTTTTGTCTTTTTTCATATAAATTATAACATTCCTTCCTATGTTTTCCAAGTTTTTTGTTTTTTATCATTTAGATCAATGTGATAAGTTCGCTGAAGATATTGTACGGCTTGTACGTCAAGATAGGAATATTGTAAATAACCAACAGGAAGATTGGATTCAATTCTTTAAATTAAAAAGACACACCTCGTCTTTTAAAACTCGAATTTGCTCCATAATTCTTTCCATATGCGATGCTTGTATTTATTACAATATCTTTTCTTATGATATTGTTATAAACTATTATCCTTGAAAGATAATTATTTCTATATTATATTCTCTTTTCAATAGCTGAAGTGGTCGATGAGAAAAAGGAGGATGTTTTCAAGTACATTGCCTTTGAAAATTACTTAATGGAAGAATATCTTCACATTCTTAGTTGGACTGTTAGACAGTTTATTACATTTAAGAAGCGAGAGAAATTCTTCACTGAACTAAAAAGTATTAAAAAGCAAACTTATTATCCAAAATTTCCGATTGCGGACGAAAAAAACTGGCCAATTATTAAAATGAAATTGACATCTCTATTGAATAACTATACATATTTCGAAGAAATGCAGTTTCCTAATAAAATAGGTGACCTCGAAGAAGCTTTTACAAGTTTGTTTTCAATTTTTCTAAGAGTCAAACGTATCTAATGTTAGACCTCTAGACCTATTTCCTTCATGTTTACTCTTCACAGGTAAGAGTCCCTCCGAAATCATGAAATGGACATCGTTTTATCTTGCTTTCCGCTACTGCGAAAAAGAAAATGCCGTCTATTCAAGAAAGCGTATTGGTTTGAATTTAGCTAAAAAAGTTATAAAATTCTCTCTTCAATGCAAAAACAAGAAGATATTTGATTTCACCTACAAAAAAATTATGGAAATCTATAAATAGACAAAAAAATTATATCCATTTTACGTACGAAATAAGGTTTTTGTTTTTTTTTATATAGTTTCTTGCTTTTAGACAAAAAGGATAGGAACTTTAGTTAGATTGTTAGTTAGTTCTTTTGATTTGTACACTCTTTTCAATAAAATTATTATTTATTAAGATATTAAGTTTTGCAGCAAAAAGTAAAAAAAGGAAGATATCACGAACAGAATAATGATAGATGCTTCAAAAAATAGCTAAAATCCAAAATTTTTGCATCACTCTTTTATAAACATTATCTATGTTAAGCACAAACCATTTATTTTTTTTGTACATGAAATGTGCTTATCTTCTAATTACTATTGTTTGAAAATGATAGAAAATTGTTTGTATAATTGGCTATTTTAAGCCTAATTTGACAAATCGGTACTTTTTCGACATTCTACAGAAGTTAGGGCTTCAGTAACATTATGAAAGTTCCTTTGATATTGCTATTCATCCTTTGCCCAGTTGTCTATACCGATCAGTTTAAGCAATTTGAAAGTAAGTATATCAAAATAGCTTACAGGCATAATGTGTCATATAATAATATTTCATGTCAAAATAAATATGCATATACTAATATATTTAAATATACAGTACAATAATTACTTATCTTTTTGCGTAAGATCACCATAGGTTTGCTATATTTAACCAGACATTTATCCTAATATGGACAAACAAATTTTTTCTGTTTATCTTCACAATTATATATTTACAGATTTGTTTTATATTGCCGTTTTTTATTTAGAATTCAACATATTAAGAGAATTTATCATACTTTTATTTGATTCGTTTTTAAATTTTCATAATCTTCTGGACTGTTACAGTCCTTTAGTATGTCAAAGAGATAAAACTCAGAAAGTACTAAATCAAAGTTGCAGTGAGGTTAGCGACTTAAGGGCCAATCCTATTTTATGATGAAATCAGTTATTACGTGTGAGGTTGCGTGGTCTAGAATGACTATGTAGAAGACGAAAAATCTTTTTCATGTTAAATTCGTCTCAATCTCGTCATCATCTCATTTTAGAATTTCTATATACCTGTCATATTTTGCTTCTTTTTAATATAAGCGATAAGAGATCTTTTGATTGTAAAAATTTACCTAAACTACTAATTTTATTTAAGGAATATTATCAAATGATTAAAATTTTCCCGGTACACATCATATATATGTGACTTTAATACAATATATACCAACCATACAATATTACAATTATTTAAAAATTCTCTCAGCGGACTGTATCCTGATTGGCAAAGAATTATTCAGACTGACATTAAGAGATGGTAGTTTGAGAAATGAAAACTGGTTAATTGCTTTCAATCTTCATCCCTATAGCTCTGAAAAAGAGTTTATTAGAAGAACGTGCTTAGTTTTAAAGAAAATATGCATTGGTAAGAGAAAATTCTTTCCCTTTAGGTATAAACGAAAATATAACTGTCATGTTTTTATATATTTAGAAAACACAGCATCGAAAAGTCAAATTGAAAACTATACTAGATTATTAGGATATCTTTACAGCGAATATTTTGAGCATCTTAAAATTGGTAGAGCCATTCTCAACAAGAAGAGAATGGAATTTCTCGAAAGTTTACAATTAATTATAGAAAAGACAAATTTTCCCGTATATCCTCTTGCCGACGACAAACAATGGAATTCAATTAAAGATGATGTCAGGTCATTATTGCACCATCATAAGTACTTTTTAGAGAATAGACATATAAACATGGAAGAGATAAAAGAAGCTTTTCAACGTTAGTATAACCTGCGCTTAAAATATTGTCTATATTAAATACTGTATAAATTATAATATAATATTATTACGCTTTGTCTTATTACATATTATGTTTTTATTCATAATTAGATCAAGATTCAAGTAAATTGGCGGAAATCAGATTGTTAGACATATTCAATATATTTGATGTGGCAAAAAATCACATGATAAGGAAATTAAATGGAGAAGATCTGACAGCAGAGCTTGTGGATGTATCCTTAACGTGTACAAATGACGATGTTTCAACCTTCACCTTTCGTTTGATAGAATGAAATTTAATATGAATAAATAGTTTTGCATATGATACATAATATACTAGCATGTATACGTATAAATTAGTATATATATAAATTTATATAAATAGAAAGGAAAAGAAGAGGGGGAGGGGAAAAATTAATATATAAAAAGTATGAAATAACAACATGCAACCTGCCTTATATAGACTGCAGTATATATATATAGTATTCCGACGAATGCATCTTTATATTATTAAATAAAGTATACTTTATTTGAATAATGTTAAAACGACGGTTTTTTTTGATTTATATATGAACCCTATCTTCCTTTCTAAAATACAATAGCACAATTACTTAAAATTTTTAATTATAATTCTTTTGTTGTCTACTTTATAGGCCTAATAAAAATATAAGAGTTTCCCATAAATAATTTTCCAATAGATATAAAGAACAAATTTTCTGCAAGAATACGATTTCTCTTCTATGTAAACTCTCATAAATCATAAAATATTAACACTAGTTAGTCTTACATTTAAAAATTCTTCTAATGCAATTAGTAATACAATTATAAGAAATATTAGCTAACAGATCGACTACTCGATGCTACATGGAGAAAATAAATATCACATATCAAAATATACACCAGATGGCAGTTTGTAAATGCAATAAGTAAAGAATAAAAGATTCTCTTATCAAAATGAATTATCTGACACAAAATTCAATGATCATGTCTAAATGAAAATTAATGATGAATTCTTGATTTTTCTTTTTGATGTAATACCGCCTGTAGTTAAAATTTCAATCAAAGACAGTATTTAAAGCGAACAATAAGGTTTTTCGATTGTAAAAAGGAGACAACTCGTCATTGTAGTAATAATAAGTCAGATACTTTACTTCTGTAAAGAAGAAAGTTCAAATCTATTTTTCAGTAGAAATGTTTTTCATAAACAGTAAATAAGTTTTTTTTACGATCATTAAAATAAAAAGGATTACTTAAAAGTTCTATTTCAGAATCTGTTGAAATTCGAACAGTCGGAAGTGATTAGTCATGTTAGAGGAAAGAAGAAAAGAACTATGTTAAAATATTTAGATGTTTAAATAATAATTTATTATTTTCAATCGTATTTACATTTGATAACTGAGAAACTAGAATAATATACTTTATTGAAGAGAAAGATTACTGTTCAAAAATTCCATAAATTACTGCACGAAAGAATGTTCTTTATATGCTCTTTATCTGGTAGTACTTGTGTTAATATAGTTTTTTAGTGTTAATCTCTTTCTTTCTAACCTTCCTTCTTGTTCTCTTTCATTGGTTTCTTTCTTTCTTTCTTTCTTTCTTTCTTTCTCTCTCTCTCTCTCTCTCTCTCTCTCTCTCTCTCTCTATCAATTGCTATGTTATTTCATATTAGTAGTCTTTTTAGAATTAAATTTATCTGCAGGTTACAAAAAGATTTCTTTTGTTTGATAAAAGTTCGAAACAAAGGCCCTTTCATCTAAAGATAATTGCTGCCTGTTTCGTTCAAAGTAGGAAATGATGGATAATTTCTTCAAGTATATTTAAAGGAACTTGGTAAAAATTTAAGTGGCTTTCTATGACACAATTAACCACTTCAATTGGGAAAGGTCAAGGTTGACTTTGTCGGTCAACAAAGGCTATTCGTTTGGGTAATAAACAATTAAATAAACATAGTAAATTTGATTTGCGACGACGATTGTTTGCGGAAGTTCGCTGATAAGAACAATAAATATAAAACTAAATCAAAAGTCACAACGAAGATTTACCTAGGTAAAAGTCTCATATTTTCGACGAATGAGAAAAGTACGTAACTGTGAAAAAAAAAGCCTCATCAATATGCAAATATTTTTACCGGAAGTACAGCTAATTGGTCAGATTTTAACCAATCATCGTCGATCTAAATGTTCAAGTTGTTCAAAATAACTCCGTAAATCACGTCCAACGAAGAGAATTAAAATTTTCAGACCGTTCGGAATTTTTAATAAACAAATAAGAAAACGTGCTCTTCAATAGAAAGCGGTGAAAAAAGACGAACGCTTTGTTCAAGGCGAGGATTATTCTAATCTTTTTTGAATGGAGAGAGTTTTCGCTGGATTTATTTACTACCGATCATGCATTTTGGCAAGATCATTTTTCTAATTACTACCGTTGAACTAATAAAAGCATGCGGATCTGGTAGAAGATTTTATAGAGGCTCAAAACACCAGAAGCTTGTACCTCTTGTGTTTAAGCAGCATGTTCCTAATTATTCTGAACAATCTATAGCAGCAAGTGGAAAATTCTCAGCTAAAGTTCGTAGAGATAGTAAAGAATTTCAAAAACTGGCTTTTGTGGACAAAAGTAGTGATATAATTTTTAAGGATAACGAAGGAACCGGAGCCGACAGGCTAATGACACAGGTATTAAGAGCTAAACTATAAAATCTAATTGTAAAAACGAAAGCTGTTCGTTGTATAGCATTAAGAAATTGTTTCGTAAGAAGAGAATTCAGTTAACACTTTTAATTTAATTAAAATTATGTAGAAGAAATTCTTGCTCATACTGTCCTTTAAAGAAACTCCTTTAACAAATAGAATTCGTTTAAATAAATGCAGCCCCCCTGTTTATTCCTTAGTAAATACATTATTCCTTATTTTAATGTTCTTTCTGAACAGAGGTGTAAAGATAAATTGAATAGCCTCTCTATTATGGTAGCAAATGAATGGCCTGGTATAAAGGTCAGAGTTATCGAAGCATATGATGAGGACGATCAACATCAGGAGGAAAGTTTACACTACGAAGGAAGGGCGTTAGATATAACGACTTCTGACATTGATAAGTCGAAATATGGAATGTTGGCCAGGTTAGCTGTTTTAGCTGGTTTTGATTGGGTTTATTACGAAAGTCGATATTATGTTCATTGTTCTTGTAAACCTGGTAAGATACCTATAATATCTATATATCTATACAGTATATATAAATTTATATATATATATATATATATATATATATATAAAACATGGTAGATCAATAGAACCTCTACAAATTACCTGTCGAAAATTTTCAGATGATCTTACGTCAACATTCGGTGGAGGTTGTTTTTCCTTAAATTCTACTGTTCAAACAAATTACGGATTGAGGACGTTAACAGAACTCAAAAAGGGAGATTTAATTCAAACTATTAATTCTGATGGACAGTTAATATTTACGGAATTTTTAACTTTTCTACATTTTTCTGTGAATACTTTAACGACTTTTACAAAATTGATTTTAGAAGATGGCAGAAAATTACTTTTAACCGATAATCATTTAATTTATACACGTAGAAAAGGAATGATCTTCTCTAGAGATTTACTAATTAATGATGAATTAAAAAGTGAAAAAGAGTATATTAAAATTATATCTATTGACCGAATTAATCAGATTGGATATTCTGCTCCTCTAACAAAGCACGGTACTTTACTCGTTAATGGACTTTGGTGTTCCTGCTACGCCGAAGTTTTTAGTCACGATTTAGCTCACGTCTCCATGAAACCTATTAGACTTTTGCCAATTTTTGCTGAACATGTGATAAATTATTACGTTTGGTTCTTAGTTCACCTTGGAAGATTTGTTTTACCCGAAAACTACTGGTTTGATTCACATTTCAGTCAATAAACCTCTCTGCTATTACCTTAAATCGAACATTTTATCTTGATTACCGAAAGAAAAAAAATAAAGTATAAACACAACAGATGTCGCCACCATAAAATGACTTAAACTAAGTTCTTAATATTGGTATAAACATGTAGTCTTCTATACAAAAAGAAAAGATCTCTTGAACTTTACACCTTAAATGGAAAAACTGCGTAAACGAATAAGAAATTTATTTAATATATAGCTCTATATAGTAAATACTAAAAATATAGTAAACAATAGTTTTAAAGTAGCAAATTAACCTTTAAGAGATGCTGTAAATGAATTGAATCTAAATGCAGAAATAACAAAAAAATATCATATATGATGACCCATGTATGAAGAAATCATAAAATAATATCTGTTTACTAGTCCTCAGTCAAGTATAAATAAATTATCGCTATTGCTAAAGTAATACTTCAAGAAAGTCGTATTTCTTATGTTCTAGTTAATGTGAACTTTATGCTTTTATAACATAATTTTCTTATTAGAATCAAGTATGATAAAATGATATAATTTATGGAAAATGATGTATAAGATAGTATTTTTAATTTAAGTAGTGTCTTGATTATTCATTTTTTATTAAGTAAATTAATTAATTTGATAGAAAAGATAAATTAAGAAGGTAAACAAAATACAAAATATTTTTTTTAGCCTTTTTTTTAACTTTTTGAAAATATTTAATCCGCTTTTTCCGATTTATTGTAGCTTATTATTTTCAACTTCTAAGTGCAGAAATGCCAAAACGATTTTATCAACTGAGGGTGAGTCAGATAACAAGAAAGACGCTAAGAGAAATGAGAGGCTCGTCATGAGGAAGAGAGTTTTACAGAGATTTTTAAAATAATTTAGTCTTTTGTTCATAAACAATTTTCATTCATCATTTAAAAATATAAACTTTTTATCCGATGAAAAAGCGTCTTGAACCTTTGGAACAACTACTTTTTGTATATCCTCCATTACCTGGACCTGTAAATAAGTGGAGTATTAATAAGTTATGTTATCTAAATTTTATTTAACTAGGAGGCTTACATATACTTTTCATATCTTGGGCGGATTTTTCTTGTCCATCTTGGGCATTACAGTGCTGAAAAGCATTCTGCTGACAATACCATACTGAGCAATCTTCCAGAGGTATTCCATTACAGGATTTTAATTCACATTTACAGTCTTAATTGTAAAAAAATGATTAAATAATAAAATGATGTTGAAAAGAAACTAATTGAATAGGATGATCTTACCGTAAGAAGTAATTTTTTGAATTCTTTTCTTTATTTTATGAAAGTATTTCACTTTGCAAGGATGTTTATTTACACTTTTCAAGCAAGATAATTGTTTCTTATATGCACCCGAAAATCCTTCAACTGAGAAACCTTTATGGTAAGATTTTTCTAATAGTTTTATGAAGATGTAGTTGCAATTTTGAGCCAAATGGAAGCAATGTCTTCTAGTTGATATAATGTTTCTTTTACTTCTTTTCAATGATGGGACTGCTATGCCAAGATAGTCCTTTGCTTGAATTTCAATATTCAGGTTACTTTTCATTGGTTTTACTGTAAAGTATAAAATATATATCCTGTAATACTATATGTATATATTTAAAGACAAGCAGGAAAATAAGTTAAACTTACTTTGAAGAGTTTTATCAATAGTCAGAGCGAAAAAAATTAGCACTAAGCAATAACTTTCCATTATGCCAGCAGTATATAGTTCCTAATAGAACAGAGAAATTCAAATGCTGGGATTTGCCAGTCACATGCAGAGGTGATTAGTACCACGACACGTGACAATGAATAATATTTTTAGTACATCTAATCTAAAAAAAATTATCAGTCATAGTTTGTTGAAAAACGAAGAAGAGTATCCTTATGGGTATTTGGTCCCACGCGAAGATCTGGTGATTTTATCAATGTTTCACGGTTTTTATTATCTTTCAATAATTGTTAAGGTTGTAACTTTGTACAATGTTAATCTAAAAAAAACAATATATTATCTTTCTTTATATCAAAAAACTAGTTAATTTGATTAGTTATATTTGTTATCAAAACTTAGTTGTAAGTGTTAACCTTTACATTCTTTCTATTGAACTTTATTCCAATAAAAAAATGATTTTGTGCCTTTTCATTCTTATCTTTCCATTAAATGAAAAAAGTATTAAATTGAATGAAATATACTAAATTCATTTGCTTACTGCAATACTTTTAATAAGTGTCGTTATTTTCGTTCATATAAAATGATTACAATTTTCAGGGTCAAAATTGCGTAACATTTTACAAAAGTGAATTTGCGTCTAATATCATAATGTTATCTTTTACTTATTTATTTATATGGTCTAAATATCATTTGAAAATAATCTTCTATATCATTCATATTCAATTTAATGTTCAAAACGATTTTTTGTCCTTTTAAAGAGACGAGGTAACGGAGAAATGTTCTTTAGGCCATAAACTGGTTTCAAGATATTATTTTTTTTCTGAGATTATCAGATAATAATATATTTACTAAACAAAATAACAAAAAAAAACACTAAAAAAGACTTTTTATTAGATACATTTCGATTTATTTAAAAATGAAAAATATTCATTTTTTATAAGATTCTTATGAAATCAATATATTATAGTTCATTTATCATACGATATTTTTTTGTTATCTCTATCAAAATCCTGGATTTCTTATACTTTGTTACACATTTTAGTGATATTTGAAGAATGAGTATTCCTATAAAATTATTCTCTTTTTCGTATACTTTGCATAATGAAAAGCTTAATATGTATAATAGCTATTTTTTGTATAGAATATTACAATATGAGCTATAAAGTGGAAAGTATTGAAAAATCGGTAATCTTAATAACGATGAAATATAGTTTTTATTGAGAAATTATCAGAATTATTGATATATTTTCTTAAAGTCAATACATTTATTATTGAGGTTATCAGAGTTTGAACTTTGGAAAAAATGACCTAGTAGTTTTAATTTTGAAAAAACTGTCAAACTGTATATAATCTTTTGATATGAAAAATTCAATTAAATTATTGGACCTATTATTAATATTTTTATTATGAATATCATTAAATAAATCATTGCGATGTTAGAATATGGAAAAAGAAATTTTCCAACTTGAAACGAATTGAAATAACCTTATATATTAAAAGTATTGATTTTTTAAAATTATTGATCTTCTATTAATATCTATTATCTATTAAGGTTCATAAAGTAATAAATTTTTTTAGCTTGAAAGTTATAAAATATACGTGTAATCTTTTTTGGGTTTTTACCTGACTTAATATTTTTTATGAAATATACTTATGATATTAGAATTTACTATATTCAATGCTTGTAGTTGACAATGCTACATAAGACTCTATTATAAGCAATGAACCAATTTAAATTACATTCCATAGAAGTAACTACATGTGTAAACAGTATATATTTCCAAACGATATTATAAGAAAGATCATGATCGATAAAAAGTTATTTTACGAAGTATTAATGTTTTCTTAATCAGTTTTATGTTTCGTCTGATATAAAGTGAACATTTTTTATGTATCGTTATCATTTAATATCAGTACTTGTTAAAGTAAATTCAATAACCTTTAAGATAGTAATACATTACTTAACAATTGTTAAAATTTCATTGATTGTATTACAAAGGTTTGTAAAGAAAGAAAAACGGCAAAGAATAGGGAAAGGATTAATTAAAATTTTCTTCTGATATTTTATTTTTTAATCCAAACTAGAAATGGCAGTCGTCGTATTATCGTTGTATTAGTTTTATAATATATGTTAAGTTTTTTATTTTTTATTTATTCAATGAATAACAAACTTAATTGCATATTGTATATACTTCACATCTACTTGTTACCCTAGTTTACAATTGCAACAGATTTTATCATACGACCAATTACATTTTACCTAAAATATTCCAAAATTTGCTTATTTCTTTCTGAATATCAATTAATGTTACAAGGATATTTATAAAAAGTGCTTAGTAATAGTTAGATCAAACTACTATATTTACATTATGAAATACTTTTCTAAAACATGAAAGTTTAATATATAGTATCTTGAAAAGCATATTTAAATTGACAATAGATGGCGATATTTTTCAAGATTATGATTAAGAAATTTTAAAACTATTGTATTTTATGTAATTACGAACGATTAGAACTTAATGAAATGTTATTAGACTATTTTCTAACTGAAAACGGTAATTTTATATAGAAAATATGATAAACTATCAGCTTTATATTTTAAATAATAAGTCTATTGAAAGGAAAAGGAAAATTTTATATATTTATATTTCCAAAAGAGTGTAATAACTGCCTATAACACTCTTATTTTCATATATACACTATTTTAGTACATCTACTTTCTCTTTCGTATGAATTATCTTATATACTTTTCAATACGCTAATTAAGGTTGATGAAATTAATTTACGACCTAGTAAAATCATGATTTACACTTTAGACTTATTACTAACAAATATTTATGAATATTTCTATACAAACTAAAAACGGTTCTATAATTATCAAATTACAAAATTAAAAGTTCTGAGTTTCTTATTACATTCAATTTGGTCATATATTTTCTAATATCTCACTTGCACTTTGATACTTATAAGCGATGAAAGCTTCTTCCTTAGTGATATTATTTGCAGCAATCGGTTCTTCTTCTTCGTCAAGTAACTGATCTTATTATTTAAGAATTATTAAGAATATTTTTGATTTTGAAAATTACAGACTCCGATGTGAAGAGCCACGATAATATCGGTTTACCTCTACCATTTGTATATCCATCTGGCACTGGGGGTGGTGACAATTGCCACTTTCCGTTTTATTCAGGCCAATCAATTTGGTTTGGCTGTCAATATGGGGGCATTGGTTATGCTCCTTGGTGTAGCACTGTTGCCAACAAAGATGAAAATAAAATCGGTTTTTGTATATTTGACGACTGTAAATTTACTCCAGATGGAGCAGGTTACAAGGGAACTTTAGCAGTAACAAACTTTGGGAATCCCTGCATTAGCTGGACTAGTGAGCCTACTTTTACATCTATTGGTATTCCTGAATCAACAACTGCAGAGGCCAATAATTATTGTAGATCTGCTTTACCTGGATTTATACCAGAAATGATGTGCTTTATACAAAATCCTGACCCTTTTGGTTATCCATTTGTTGAAACATGTGGCGCTGTAATTCCTATGTGTGAGAACCTTAAGTATAATTGTCAAGAAAGACTTGTCACTCCTTTACCTGGTGTCTCGTTTACGGCCAATACTACCAGAAATAGTACATTCCCTAATCATGCCAAGGTTAGTGCTTCTTCCGTTTGGTGTGCTGCGGTAAACGATGAATATCAATGGTTGCAAATAGATTTTGTAACAAGACATGCTTTTGTTGGAATTGGAATGTATGTCCCTGGGGCTGCTGATGGATATGTGTCTACGTATCGTTTGCTTTTAAGTAATGATTCTGTTATTTGGAGCGATACACTAACTATAGAAGAAATTCAAGGCCCTACTCGAAAAAATGAATACGGAGTAGAAATATTTTTAGAATTTTCACGGTACATTCGAATTATTCCGATAACGTGGGTTGACAATATTTGCCTTCAAGTTGAAATAGGAGGATGTGAATGTTGGTATTATTTTTTATTGCACAGTAGTTAAGATATACAATATTCGTATTATTTAATCACTGACAGATTATAATCCTTGCTATTCATTTCCTTGTCAAAACAATGGAACTTGCCAGGGAAATTCTTTCCATCGTTCTTTCACTTGTACCTGCACACTTGATTTTACGGGAAAAACGTGCGATAGTTATGTTGATTTTTGCCAATCTAAACCTTGTCAAAATGGAGGAAATTGTACAAATACGAGAATTCTTGGAATAAATAGTACTAAATATACGTGCGATTGCGATTCTGCTGGTTTTTATTCTGGTGTTCATTGTGAAATCGGGTCGGCAGAATCATGTGTTCGGTTATTTGAGTATAACATAACCAGAAGCGATTTTTATACCTTAAATACAAGCTTTTCCAAAGAGTGTGAAATGAAAAAGAAAGCTATACAAATTCATCAAGTAACCTTCATTCTTATGATACTAGATAACATAACTACTGGTCTAGAATGTGCTAACATGTGTTTAAGAAATGAACTTTGTAGAGCAGCATCATTAACAAGGAGCCCCTATTATTGTTTTCTTCACTCAAAAGAAGATGAAGTTGAGCTGCTTAATGTAAACCTTAATAGAAATTCAGAATTTTACGTTAAGGAGTGTAGTTTACTATTTAGAGCATTTTGTGAATTTGATGTTGTAGCAAGAAAGGTTAAAACTGCAATTTTCACTTTGAAAACAGGTTTGAAAATAGTGCCTTATTCACCTCCTGAGCGTTTTCAATATTTAGTTCGTTATGAGGCTACGGAAAGTCAAATTGCTTCTCTAAAAAATAATTCACATTCTTGTCAGCAAAGCTTTCTACAAATGTGTTCTTTTTCTAGTAACAGCGATTGGTCAATTCAATTCCATGACTTTAACATAAAAAAATTTACTGAGGGACATAAAGTATCTTGCAGTAAATGTCTATTGGATGAACAATGCATACCAAGTACTGAATGCGCTTGTGCAGCTGGTGTAGGAAATTCTCTAGATAGTGGGCATTTTAGAAAATTAACTGATATACCAATAAGAGCCGTCAGTAGTGGAAATAGTAATCCTGCTTACAACTCAATGTCTTTTGCTGTTGGCCATTTTGTTTGTGAGTTTGACTTGGCCAAATCAGATCCTTGTTCACCATCACCCTGTTTCAACGGAACCTGTATTACAATAGGAAATAATTATATATGCAATTGCACTAATGGCTATGGAAATTATGACTGCAGTTACGATATAGACGAATGTGCATCCTCTCCATGTCGAGACATTTCAACTATTTCATGCACTGATTTAGTTAATGAATACAAGTGCAACTGTAATCCAGGATTTACAGGAAAGAACTGTGAAACTCGTAATTATTTCTATTTGGGTACAAAGAGTTATTAATATCATTTACTAAAATACAGACATCGATGACTGTTCTTCGTCACCTTGTGAAAATAATGGATCATGCATTGACAACGATAATTTCTATACATGTTTGTGCTTTCCAGGTTTTTACGGAGTACGATGTCAGAATGGTCTGTAAAGAAAAACAACTGTATATTCTTTTGATTTAAATGGATTAATCTAAATTTTTATAGAGTATAATGAATGCCAACCGAATCCTTGTATCAATGCTGATAGTTGCACTGATAAAGTTAATGACTACGAATGCCTGTGTCTTCCAGGTTATGAAGGGAAAAACTGCGAAAAAGGTATATTATCTAAACTGTAATCACTCTAATAAATGTGTTTTACAGATACTAAAGAATGTGATAGTAATCCTTGCTTGCATAACGGTGAATGTAAAGAAAATACCATTAATTCATATACTTGCAAGTGTCGAAGTGGCTTTTCGGGAGATCGGTGTGAAATCGATGAAGACGAATGTGTATCTGAGCCTTGTTTTAATGGCGCAACTTGTCAAGATGCAAAAGGATTTTACCTCTGTGTTTGTACAGAAGGATTCAGTGGTAGCAGATGTCAAGAAAGTAAGATTTCTTTTCTCAGCGATGAAGTAAGATTGATCGTTTAATGTTTATAACAGATTTGAATGATTGCATCGTGAATAATTGTAAAAATGGAGGTAGTTGTATTGATGGTATTGCCGATTATAGTTGCTATTGTGTTTCTGGATATGAAGGGGACCACTGTGAGATAGGTAAGATTTAATTTGTCTTCAGAATGATATAAAAATGAAATTCATATGTATAGAGGTAGAAGAATGCCTATCGGACCCCTGTAAAAATGGCGGCTCCTGTTTTGAAGGAAATATTGGGGAATATCGCTGCGAATGTCCAAATGGATTCACTGGTTCACAATGTGAGGTTAACATAGACGATTGTAAAATAGAGCCTTGTTTAAATAAAGGCCAATGTGTCGATGGTATAGCAGATTTTACTTGTAATTGCCCTCCTCCTTTCACTGGCCACATTTGCAATGCAGGTAATTTTTCTTAAAACTTGATTCATTCAAAAAGAAAATAATTTCAGTAATAACGGATGGTGAATGGGGTGGATGGCAAGATTGGTCTTCCTGCTCTGTTGATTGTGGACTTGGAGTTAGAATCCGCAAAAGATCTTGTAACAATCCTTTACCTCGGAATGGAGGTAGAGTATGCAAAGGAGACATTTCTCAACTTGAGTTGTGCAACGAAAGTGAATGTACATCAAGAAATGGTAATTGGGGGCTTTGGTCGGTTTGGTCTGCTTGCAGTGTAACTTGTAGTTCTGGCTTTAGAAGCAAATTAAGAAAATGTAATAATCCTACACCAATCAATGGAAAAGATTGCGAGGGAGAAGCCGAAATAACAGAGGGCTGTGAAGAGGTCGAATGTGGGAGTCCTGTAGATGGAAATTGGAGTCCTTGGGGAAGTTGGTCATCCTGCTCACATTCGTGCGACCCAGGTGTAAAATTTAGAGAAAAGCTATGTAATTCACCAAAGCCTCAATGGGGTGGAAAAGATTGCGTTGGTATACACAGAGATTATCAGAGTTGCCAAGTTAAAGCTTGTACGACTATAAAGAAATGTCCGGACAACTTTGAGAACTGGAGTGAATGTGATAAAGAATGTGGAGTGGGAAAACGATCCAGATTGAAGACTTGTTCAGTCGAATATGCAGAAAAAGGAAACCAATCTCAAGCAATTAAGCATAGTTTTTTACAATATGAACACGAATACTGTTTTGAGAGAGATTGTTCAAGTAATACCCCCGTATCTTTAACATATAACATATACTAAAGTCACTTTTTATTTTCAGCTTTGACTTGTATGAATTGTGAAGCAGTCTTAGACTTTACAATCCGAAAATTTACCTGTAGAGGACCAAATGTGCCATGTTCGGAATCAAATACTGTATGCCTTTACAAATTCGTAAAAAATAATTTGAAGTCTAGTATTACCAAGAGATGCGGACAAGAAAGTGAATGTCCAAAGCAGCTATCAGAAAAATGTTCAATTGCGTTAAAATATCTGATAGATGAGATCAATAAGTAAAATATTTTTTATAAAAATGTCTTTCTCAATAATTTATTTTAATAAAAAATATCCTTTTTTACAGCGAAACTCCATTGCATTCTTTTGAAGATCTCGAACCAAATATTGATAGTCTTTATGAATGGTTTGAAAAACTTGAAGAAACGGAATGCATATTCTGTTGTAGAGGAACAAATTGTAATGGTCCTGTGTTACCTCCTTCAGTAACTCTTTATTCGAAAGGTAGCTTGCTTTGGAATAACTTTATTTTAACGTATAGTTTCTTAATTTTATCAATATATTTTTCAATATAAAAGCTGATGAGAAATCATTAATATTTATATATATTCGTATTCAACATAACGTTTATTTGAAAGATTTAAACACTATCTTAGTGATTTAGTTGACTAAGTAATTTAGAGAATTAGTTGTTGTAAATAGGAAACTTAATGAATTTTTAATTTAACAATAGAAAAAAAGTAATTTATAAAATACTGTATAACTGTTTATTATTAATAATTAAAATTTGAAAATTTTAATGTCACTGTTGTTTATTGGAATTAATTTTAATGGAATTTGATCATATTATGCAAAACGATTCATTTCTTTCATCATTTTATTAAATTTTCCTATTTAATATTTTTATAGTTTTTGTTAACTAAACTAAGATTTGACTTAGATCAGCGAACTAATTAAATATGATGGTTGCACTAGCCAATTTTGTCTATTTTCGTAACAATCTATCTGGTAATGAAGGGAATCAATTTGTTAATTGTTGGCTGCATTTCTTCTTTGGGAATAGTTGTTTTTGTTCTCTTTATTTTTTATCAATAACAGACAATTATATATAAAGAATCTGTATATTTTACATTTATATAGGAAGTGTATTAGCTTTCAAACACTTTCAAGTGTTTTAAGATCAATTTATACGATATTTATTACGATATCAGTTAGATAAATAAAACAATCCTCGTTTTTATTGTTTGACTGTAGAACAGCGGCAGTAGATGGCAGTATTGTCTAATTCCTAAACATCTATATGTACAAGGTTAACTTATTGTTAAGGGTTATTTTAGTTCTCTTCTTTAAACAGAGTGTTGACACAAAAATATTAGTCTTAGTATTATAAAAATTCTCAATTCATTTTAAACCGTAAATAGCATGAACAGTTATAGGATTTAATGCAAGTCCTTTTAAAGTCAAATTTCACTTAAAGTTATTTGATACGTTATTTTAGCGAGAATAAAATTCTTGTGTTTAGTTTTGTAATAATTTAAAGAATATTCCTTTCCTCTCTTGGTGTTTTAGAATGATAAGATGATTATTGGTCAATAAAACGTATTTATCAAACACTATTTATAGTTGTTACTATGATCGTTGATATTCTTTTTAAGCCTGTTGATCAAAATCATTAGTATGCATATACTAATTTTACTTCTTCAAAATTTACCAAACGCTTCATTATCCTTTCTAGTTTGATTAAACGTACGATATTAAAGAATACTTTTTACAGAAGCAAATTAGGGGCTTTGGTTTGTTTTTGATGTGACAAGTAGTTTGCATTTGGAATTAATAAGAAATAATCGATGTCAATCAACTAAGGGATTGTCGATCCAAGTCAGAAATCACGGAGCATTAACGGAACCCAAGCCTTTACATTTAGAATGAAATTTTAAGGCAAAAAGTAAGCGCCATTGACTTGGATAAATAATTGATAGAAGCGTTAAGTGATTCCGGAAATTTAAATGAGAAAGACGAGTTTATGATGTTGTGAAGCTGTCAGAAAACTTTCTCAGAATTCTTTAAATTCATATATGAACATTAATTGTCTTTTTGGCAATCAAGCTTTGGTTATAGAGGCCAACTTTATTTTTGCATTCTATACTATTACCAATCTAATACATTATAAATACATCTATAAATATAGGTGAAAGCCTGATAAAATAAACGATTTTAAGTTCCGTATTGTCTATTATCTTCAAATTATTACTTTGAAAATAAGAAAAGGTCATATAGAAAAGCCAGGTCAATGAACTCAAAAAAAATTCAATATTATTATTATTCTAATTAACCTAAATTTGAATAATAAAGATTAAATATTAAGAATATTATATTAAAAACAATTCATTGAGTTACTTGTTAACAGCTGAAAATATTGTGTTGAATTTGTCAAATTATACATGTCTACATAATATCGCCATGAAAGCGAAAAATAACTTTCACAAGCTAGTTTAAACAGTATATATCCTTTCAGAATGTATAAAATTTGTAATTTAAGACTCATTTAAGAGTTGGGCATGATTTTGATTATAAGTCGTTATGAAACCATCGCAAAAAAAGTTAATGATTCTTGCCAATTTTAGTAAACTTTATTATATTTAGCAGATGCTTGGATTCTTTAATATCTTATAAAAGAGAGAACGTGCTATAAAATATAGTAGCTCTAATAGAATTTGATTGAATATTTAATACTTACAAAGCTTAAGTTTAATGACTAACTTTAAGCACGATACGTTTTAATAATGCTCTCCTACTGGTAGTCTCTGATAATACATAAGCTAAAAGCATCTGTATATAGCATACAACAGCTTCGATATCTGCAATAGCTAAAATGAGAACACCAAAGTGAATAAGATGGAAGTCTAGAATCACAATCTAATACCCACTTTTTTATACGAATAACATTCTGTTTAGTATATGCTTTGCTAGTTAGTTATTCTATCACATAGTATTAATATTTTTGCAAAAGATTCCCCTTTTTGGACACAATTAGGAGCAAACTTTTGCTGTACTTAATTGGGGTTAGTACAATCGTCAATTAAGTATTGCATTAATATTTGAGTTGGTCTTTTATAAGAACAGAAATTGCCTTTAAAGCATAAAAGGCTTTTCATAATATGATCCTCTTGAATATTTCACGGAAATAGATACTTTTACCAAGTTAAGCTTTATTGAAAAAGTAGAAGAGAAGGCCTCTACTCTATAATACCTAGGAAATTATGATGATATACAAAATTGAACAGTGCGATTTGTCACTCATAAATTTTCAAGTGTAATCAAAAAACTTTAAGAGAAGATTCTTAAATCAGGAACCTTTGGACAAGATCATAGTTATAACGGAAAGATAAGATAGCATTTCATCTATTTTATAAAAGCAGTATTGATAATTTACATAATAAAGTAATATTCTTGAACACTAAATTATTGCTAGTACTTTAAGTATCATACTACTGAAATACGTAAAATACGGTCAATAATACTTCTAAACTGATACTCATCTAAATATCAAACCAATAGAATTGCATAGCCAGTTTCACCTTTTGAAATAGTAGGAGCAACCTACTATTAACTATTAACCTTAAGTAGAATATACTAAAATAACTTAGGAAATATGTAGCATCTAATTTTTAATAATGTATACAAAATTAGCTAATTTGCATAATCTTGATTGGAGTTCAAAAGTTCAAAGTCATAGCTCGACCCCAGCAATTATATTTTAAAAATATGTTGTAGAATAAATTTATTAGTCTTACATCCTACTTAAACAAAAGTCCAAAGATGAGAAACGCTCAAATTATATTCCAGTTTAGTTTGCTACGGCTGTCTTACAGTGTAAGTTGTAATTACAGCTTCAAAAGTAAAATAACCTAAGTCTGTTATAGAGCAAAAAATTGCAATATATAGAGAGAAACAATTATAGAAGAGTGCATCTCGTTAATGAACATATAGCTCCCATATTTAAAATTCTGTCTAAAGTGAGTTGTTCTAAGATTGATTTGGCAAGATGTATATCAGTGTAATTCCTTAACACCCCTATGACATTTGGTTTGAAGAATTGGTAGCAAAGGTGACAAGGTCCACAAATAAGTAGTGATGAAAGATAAACAGTGTTTACTTAAAAAGTTTTCATTAAGACACATGACTAGATGGCAGGCTTATTTTTTAAAATTAGGTATTGTTTTCTATATGGAACTATCTTTTTTTTAAGAACTTTTCTAATTAAAACTGAAATTTAGTAGGGCAGAGTTTCAAATTAATAGGCTCAACTATAAAATCCTTTTCTAATACAAAAATTTGCGCATCCTATTGAATAAAAAGGTTAATCGTTAACACAGAATTAACCTTATCGTTAATACAGAATGTCATTAGATTTTGCTTATTACTTTTTACTTGAAATCGTTTCTATTTGCATAGAGTTTTAGTGTGTTTCATTACTAGATACTCTACTCTACACCATCAGCAATCCGAAGATTATTTCTGAATTCACATTTGGAGAATAATTTTGTATAATTAATAATAGATACAATCAGCAATTGTTTTCTTCAACTAATTTTATTTCCTTAATTAAGTGCTTCCGATCCTTCACCTAAGTTCTTGTACGTCTCTATATATAATAGGACATTGGTTGTTCTGTTTCCTTAGGTAAAAATATGAATAGAAGACATGGTATTTTACAGAAATAGCGTTAATTATAAGAGCAAGTATAAAACAGAATAAACAAAGGTATATTTTTCTTTTCATTTTGTAGAATGCTAAATAGGGTGTTTTTAAATTACATAGTATTACCATTTTTTCCCTTCTTCGTCTAGAATAATAAAAAATGTCCTCTAAAATTTTAGGGAGAGAATTATCTATTATTTTAGAAGCTTTGCTTTGATCGTAAGTGCAAGATTCTGTCTTACATGTTATCTCATATAGTAATTGAAATCACGCTCTCTTTTTTCAAAGACTGCAATTAATGAGAAACTACGGGAATAAGATTTTTTTAAAGCTATCATGAATGAAAATCTTTGATTATTACTTAAATGTATTAATATCCGGTTTAAACAAAGCGAGTTTTAATTGATAAAGCATGAGTTCAAAATGTTGATAAGAGATATGTATTGAAAGAAAATGTCAAATGAAAACAAAAACAAATAAAGCTTGAAATTTATGCTTAAAACAAATAATTATTATTTGAAAAGCTAACTATCTTATTATTACATTCTATTAAGTTTTCCATCTGCTTACTATGGTAATTAATAAATTCATTCTTTTATTTATAAAAATCGTTACAGATATAAACAAATTTACTATAGACGTCTATTCTTTTTGTTTAGAATCATTCTTTTATAGAGAAGACAGTGTCATAAGGTTGTTAAACTAATTTTCCTCTGAAGGAACTTTCGCACCGTATTAGTTTTACACTTTAAACATATTAGATTATATTTGCATTAGAGTATACGTTGAATAAGCAAATAATATCATAAACTCTTACAGGAATGATGACTCTTTTAATAATGTTAAATATTCGCATCAATTATCACAAAATATGTATAAATATTAACAATACATATGTAATGAAGTACTGCACTCTATGAAACTATCTTCCTATAATATCACGTATGTAAATACAAATGGCTT